GATTCGATTTATCGCCTGGGGCGCTTAATTTTTTATGGTATCTCCTGGAGCCTATTACTTGGGCTCCTGGTACCTCTAGAAGGGTGCTTATTCGAAACAGGGCGCTTATTAGGGACAGGGCGCTTATTTTTGAGAAACAGCAGAATGTGCAAAAAAAAGCTCTGATGTCTATCTAAAAAGGAACAATAACAAATGTACAGTTTATATTCAAATATCAATGATAGGACTGTACTCTTTCGTTGCTATTACTAAAACAGAATAGGGGCGCTTATCATATACTCAACAAAATATCGCGTTTCTGATTGGTCAATGATGAATGCATAAATAGGTTATAAATAGGTTATAGAGTGCAATAGAGGTTATAGAGTGTAATACCGAGAAGTTGCCATGGAAACACGTGCAGAGTAGCGCGATGGAGTAATTTTGTCGAGAATATAATAAATAAAAAATCGTATGAACCTGTTCGTGCATTTCGTGATTTATGGTCACTCATGATGTTTTGAAAGTTCTCAAATTGCACTCGCCTACGGCTCGTGCAATTTTGAGAACTTTCAAAACATCACTCGTGCCCATAAATCACGAAATGCACTCGCGTTCATACGATTTCCTATACTTATCGCATGGGGAATGCTTACGTAACAGGGGCACTTATTGAAACGAGGGCGCCAAATTGAGTCGTTACGGTAACTTCTGCATTGCACATGAGACACTTTTTTCACTGGGCTCCACAAATTTTCATTACGTGGAGAGAATTTCGAAAAGGATTAGATAATCAGAGAAAACAGAAAAACGTTATCTCTGAAAAAATATTCTCCGTTCTTCCTCTCCTGAATTATTGCAATTATAATGGCGGCCTGATCTCAGCTTCCATAACTTATTGTGAACAAGCTTCGTCTGCTTGAATTCCAGCCAGCTATAGGAAAAAAAGAATTTCGAAATCTAGAAGTTCTACAAGGAAATTGGTAAAATTTTTCCTTGATTCAAAATGAAAATACGGTGTTATCTCGCAGAGCTGGTTACCAACTTTGCGGCTTGATTTGGAACACTGCATCATATCAAACTCTTTCCCCAGTGCGACGAACATTTGTTTTTCTCGGTTCCAGGTGTACGCAACCACTAACCCCACGTAATGCGCATGCTCTCCGTTACGAATTTTCAAAATGGCGGACATGTAAAAAAGGGAAATTAAAAAAACAAAGCGATTTTGCAATGAATTCTCAACATACACCCTCGTTAGAAAGGCGAATCCACGGAAGAAAGATACAAAACTGTATGATATTGAGATCGATATGATATTAAATCGATACCGAGGGCTCGTTTAATTGCCTTCCGTCACGATTATTAGCATTCTTGACAGCTTTCTGAAGACAGAATACTTTCTTTCTGAAGACTTCTGATATGCGGCTATTGATTATTACGCCTCGTATACCTGATTGCTCAAACACTTTGTTTACGATTGTTGAAAGGACCGACTCATGGTTCTCTGTCTTCGTCTTGACATTGCTTTGAAATAGTATAGACTAGTAAGCTGAAACGAAAAATTAATCAGGGAAGTTTACGAAAAATCCAGCAAACAAGCTTTAAAAAGGCATTTATTTCGACTTCATACTTCAACGAACTTCACAAATCTTACTTGTTTATCTTGTAAATAAACGATGGCAAATTAATTCCTGAAGCGCTTTCTGAGTTTCCGGATCCCTCTCCTACTGCTTTCACGCTTACAAAACAGGAAAAATCAAAAGGAGGAAGATACAGCTGTTTTGAAACGCCATTTGACGAAGGCAAATCTGCTTTTTGTTCGACACTTTACATATCAAAACAAAGGAAATTTGTTCCTCTTTTTGATTCTGGCGGTACATTTTTAATTTGCGCCTGCGTAAAAGAGATATCGCTCGAGACCCTTCGCTCGGTCGTGTTTTGATCAAAAACGCCTTGTTAATTTTACGCAACCGCTCGGAGAAAAGGTAAAAATGACGAGGGAAAAACTTTACCTTCAAGTTAGAAAATTAGCGAAATAGAAAGCCACAATATTATAGTTTAATATTTCAGAGGTACATTGAGTGCTTTTTCCGTAGAGAATCCGCACGATGGTAAAACATTCGAAAATTACACTCGATTTGAGTGGGGTGTTGAAGTGGGCGTGGTCACTACATTCATGTTAAGACTATTTGTACCCCATGAGTTTGATATGTCCAATTAAGTAGAATCGCAATCATGACGTTGTTCTTTCATCATTCCTGTCTTTATTTTTTTAACACAAAACGAGATTATACGAGAGTGAGTTGTATTTGAGTTTTAAGTATTACCCTACTTACGCATATGGCAATCTTACAACGTGAAAACCTTCAGAAACTTGGAATGTCCATTTTCGAGTAAAGACAAAGAGATGATTAAAATTCTCGTAAAGCTCCCAAATGTTAGTCCTCAAAAGAGGAAAGACTGCCAGAACACTCAGGAGTACAGGTTGAATAACTGCTCAAAAGCAATGTTCACTCCTCGTGTACCTTTTCTCTAGAGAGATGTTTCAATGGCTCCTCATCAAGATGATGTACGTTTAAACAAAAACATATTCCAAATCGGACACTTCTAGATTGGAAGGAAGATGAAGGGCACCACTTGGTCGAATAATTAAGAAATACAACGAGGTATCTCTAAGGAGCCCTCGGTTTTTTTTACTGGGTGAAATAAAAATACTATTCTCGCCCGAAAAAGCGCATGTTTTCGTTACCGATGGATCCAGTAGCTAATTTTGACATTAGATAATTGAATTAAATCAATCAGATCGAAAACAATCGAAATGACTCACAACAGTGTTAGGTTTGCTCCTAAAATCGAATATTTTTGTGTTCAACGATGCTTAGTATTTGCTCTTAAAAAAATGTTGTGAAATGGAAATTCAAATGTTAAAGGTAAAAGTCGATTGGAAGAACTTAAGAATGTCGCGAGGTGTTTACGGTCTCACTTTGCATGTTAAAGGTGAAGATCGATTTTTGGAAGAACTGAAGTAAATTCCGAGGTGTTTTTGGCCTCACTCACAGTAGGTCAGTAACCACAAAATGAACCCTGCTAATTCATCATTTAGGAAGACATACATCACCAGAAATAATTGTTTAATCATAAAAAAGTGACTTCGAGTGAACACGATAAAATCTTAAGCCATTTCGGTATACCATCAGTCTTTGCACTTTGGGACGACTTACGAACTTACGAACTTCCATGCAAGGATGATATCGTAGAATGTTATAGGCTAGAGGCTAGAACCCATAAGGTACAAAATTGTACCATTTTAATATAATTGTTCGGGTGATTATAGAAATGCGCGCTCTCTGATGGGTCAAGGATTGCGTCATATCTCGCTATAATCACCTCGAGGGAGGTGAGTAGAGCAGGGGCGCTAAATTTTAAAATGGCTGCCTCACGTTTTGTCAACCTTTCCGACGAAGTGATAAACGCTATAGGAGAAAATTCAATTGCGAAGAGCTCAAAAGATGCCACTGAGTTTGGCGAAACACCTCTCAAAAGAAAGATATGAAGTTTTTGCTGATCATATTAAATAAACCTTCTAAAACTCCTTGTTTATCTTGATTCAAGTAATCACTACAATTGTAACAAAATATGTGCAATGCTCTCTTTAGTTGCAAAATTTGCTACATAATTCTAAAGGACCTGAGCAGTTATACTAAAAAAATATTTACCTCAAGCTCATTGTAGAATAGTCCCCTCGACTTAGACTTCGTCTCAAGTATTATTCAACAATCAAGCCTGAGGCGGATAATTGTTAAATAGAGGAAGGGCAACGGCGGCCTCTTGTTTGTTCATACGCCAAGGTTACAGAGTAGATGTTGATTTTATTTTAATGCAGTAAATTTCAACAGTTTTACACTTATTATCAATTTCTTCTGTGTGTGTGATTATATCACTTGTTCTAAGCCAATAGACATGCTGAAATTTCTGCGCGAAAACTGTTTTCCGCTGAGTATGGTGAGTTATGGCAAAATAATGACAGCTAATGACCCTGTTCAACTCTAAACCTAATCAGCGACCCCCATACTTTTATCTCATAATTTCACAAGTTTTAGTTCAAAATTTCATGTTTTTAGTTTTAGAGGCAAATACAACACAGTAAATACCAACAGTATCAATATTGTTATAACCATACACGACAACAGAAATACAGAAGAGGATAACATTGCAAAAACACACTGAGCGTTCTCAGGACCAGGAGGGAGAGAGACTGGGACCGAGTTTAAGCAATAGTCACCGGGCGACAAAAGCGTTGGAAATCGAACTTGCTAGTCTCCTTCTCAGACGTTATTTGGATAGTCACGCAACGCTCCTCTGAGAAAACGTTTTCTCGGGGACGTCGCGTAAAATCTTATCTAGTTTGTGTTGAATTACATTAAGATACATTTATGTGACACACAATCGCCGGCTACACAGGCTACGAGATTTTCATCGAGTTTTAAACTGAATGAAATTAAAATTAACAACCACGGTACAGAATATTGTCGAAAATTTAAGTTATTTTGGCCCGCCGGTTACTTTGCTTGTTGGGTAATAATTTGACTCTCTCCATCATAATTTACCTCCAGATCGGCGGGTTATTTTATTTGAATTAAACATCGCGCTAAATCTCAATCGTCGATCTCTAAACAAAATATTTGAAACGGCCCAGTGTGAATCCCCAGAGTTTCCATTTACTAGTTGTCACAAAACCCCGAATATATCCACCCAAATTAACTGTTGTTTGCTCTTTCGCGTGACGACACGTAATCGACTGTGTAATCGTAAACAAAGCGGAAGTTAAAAAAGTATTTAATCCGCTGTAATGAGATTTCGCAGGCTCCATCAGCTGGAAAGCCTGCAAGATTTTGCCACGTCTAGGTCAACGTGTTTCGTCTAGTTTAAAAGTTACTGCAGGGATTGTTTGGACTATTTCCCATTCATAGTTCACAACTACCAGCAGCACAATCTACCTGTACAATTTTCTTGAGTTAAACATGGAAGGAATCCTTTATTTTTTGGTGTGTGCAGTCCTTGTAAACAGCTGTATTTGTGCAGCCACTACCGGCAGAGAGAATCGGCCGAAACCACATGAAGATATCTCCTTATCAGAAAAAGAGCATGAAGAAGATGGTGAGCATAACTCAGAGTACGACCACGAGGCCTTCCTAGGAGGCATGAAAGATGAATATGACGATCTGCCCCCAGGAGAAGCCGTAAAACGGCTAAGAGTTTTGGTCAAGAAAGTGGATTCTGATAAGGACGGGTTTGTCACAGAAGAAGAGCTGACAAAGTGGGTGAGAGATGTGTTCAACAAACGTCTGCTGGAGGGAGTGCAGGAAGATTTGAGTTCAAAAGACATGGACTCGGATGGCAAATTAACTTGGGATGAGTACGTAAAGGCGACTTACGGCCCGGAGGAAATGGGAGATGATGCCGATGAAGAATCAAAGAAGTTGTTGAAAACGGACAAAAGACGATTCGATACAGCTGATAAAGACAAGGACGGAGCCCTCGTCAAGGAAGAGTTTGTTCACTTCATGCATCCAGAGTCATCTCCAGAGATGGCCGATATTCACGTTCTGGAAACTATCGAAGGTTTGTAGTTAGTTACTAAAAATTTTACCAAAATATTTTCATTGCATTTCAAGGTCTTAGAAGATTTGACTCGTGTGCCCTCAGAGAAAATACGCGTTCATATCAAAACACATCAGACCCCGCATTGCGATGATAATTGATTTCGGAATATTGATCATTCTAATTACAATCATGAGCCGAAACAGTTTTTCTTCATTTTCAAAGTGTAACACAACCATAATATTTCTCTGTTAAGCTGTGAAACAGTCATCCATGAACATTGTTTCTGTTTTCTATTGTTGCCAAGAATTTGAAAGGAAAATTTATTAACTTTTTAGACTTAGTCTTTCTTATGTAAATCAGAGATATTGGGTTTACAAATCATTTTCCTTTTCAATAAAATATCCACACTTTTTCTACATACAAATTGAGAGTAATTATTATTGGAATTCACACGTAAAAAATTAATGAGTTATGTTTCCATGGAGTACTGAGGATTAAAAAGATATGCCCTTAAAACGTATACTCATAACAGTCAAATAGTATCAAGGTTAGTCACAATGGTTCTCAAAAAATACAGCTTTTGTATAGCTCACCTATAATCATCAAAACCTGTCTAACATTATAAATATCTTGGCATGCAAAAAGGCAATAATAACCTCTAAACAAGTTATCTTTTTCTTCCCATTAATCTGTAGCATCTTTGGGCACCCTGGATTTTCCACACTTTTATTGGTGGATGTTTTGGTTCTCCAATGTTTCTTAATGATGACCCATTTATTCAGCTGTGTTTCCTCTGCTCTGATCTGCATTTTTCATAACAACCAGTCGTTACAGGTGCTACTTAAACATTTTTTGTCATCCCCTTCAATTTAAAGAATTGTGTCAAAATGTCTTGAAAGAAAATATTTCCAATATAAACATTAAGCCCTGTAAGAAAAAGAAGAGGGAATTTTCAAACACTTTTTGAGGTCATCTCTTTACCTGATATTCTTCACAGTCATTTATACTCTCTCATTTATGGTCTCTACCTGCTGGCTTCAAATGAGACATTTCTGCCGTGTTTTTCTATTTGGCTTCAAATCAGTGACAGTGTGAAACCTGTTCAGCCAAAGTTTAATTTCCATGACAGAGAGCATCCAGTCAAAATTTGTTTTAATTCATATGAACATGAACGTCTTTGAAATGTAGGCATTATAAGCAACTGAAAAAATGCCTGTTAAAACAATGACTGACAGAATATTCATAACATTCATTATCAATTTGAGTATCTTTTGGTCCTGCTCAATTAAATTCTTCAACCTGCCTGGCACTTGTTAAGAAGTCTATACTTGAGAAACAAAATGAATATTTCTGACATCTATCTCACTCTTTAGGAAATGTTTCTTCCTTTTTAAACCTTTTTAATTGATGAATTTTGTGGGACTTTTTAAGTTCAGAGGTTGGTCTAAGATCTAAAGTGTATTTTTGTTTTGATTCTCAATTTTGCATTCAAATTAATTTATGACTAAGGGAAGAAAAACTGTTCTTTTTTTAGATACTGATAATGACAAGGATGGCTTTATCAGCAAGAAGGAATTTTTGGGAGATTTCCAGGATCCTAATGACGAGGAAGCAGAGGAACCTGAATGGGTGAAGGAAGAAACCCAACGGTTCAATGAGGAATATGACAAAAATCATGATGGCAAACTTGATAAAGAAGAGGTAAACTTGATAATCCTGACTTCATGAAAGGCAGTTGTCACTTGCATATCTAGTGAAGAGCCTGACTCACCAAAAAATGAGTTGTGGCTCACTTAGTAGAGCATCCAGTTATAAAATCAAACCTGGCTTCTGAATCTTAAGGGACAAATCAGATTTTTGTGTTTGTTTGTTTGGACAGATACAAAGGTTGTAACAGCATTTAATTCAGTTAGTCTGTGTCTCTTTCATGGCAGTTTCCGAACAAGCAGTTCAACTGAGTGAGTGATGTCCCCCAAAAGAAACAAAGCCAGTTATAACATGAAGCAAATTCATTATTTCACAGATATCTGACTATTTTGATTTCTGACTCTCATGTATTTCCCCAAGATCTTTCTCTGCATGGTAAACTACATATTGTGAGTCTGATGACAAAAAATTGCCAAAAGAAAAAGTCAAAAACCATCTAGGTTTGAGGCTTTTGGTAAAATTGTGCACCATGACCATTTGAAAGTTGACAAAAATTACAGACAAGTGTCGAAGTTTAAGTCCTTCTGTTCAGTCAGTGAAAAGTTAAAAACATTTTTTTCATCTTTTGGGGCTTAGAGAGGGAAAATAAAGTACTGTAATAATCTCTGCATCTCATCATTGTTGTAGGTGAGGCAATGGATTCTTCCCGAGACGGATCACATGATGGCACTGGAGGAGTCAAAGCATCTGATTCAAAGTGCTGATGAAAACAAGGATGGAAAACTTAGTGAAGAGGAAATTGCGCAACACCATGAAGTTTTTGTTGGCAGCGAGGCCACAGACTATGGTCGTGCCCTACCAAAACATGAAGAACTTTAATTGTTCTGGTTCAGTCTTGGTACTAGATTAAATCTTTAAGCATTTTTGTCAAAATTGGCTTTATAATTAACAGTTGAGTCTTAATGAAGAAGCCCTTTATACAAAGACATGTTAGAAAATGTATTAGTTCAAATAACATTTCTACTTTGCTTGAACCTGTCATTAGTTTTCAATCATTGTGTTTACGGTACATTGCTACACGGCAGGATTTTGCAGATGTTCGTTCGTTTTGCTTTTTATCCATTATTTATTCCTTTTGGTTGTAGTTGTGTAGAAGACTTGCATTTTCATTCAGCAGTTTTTACTCTTTGTGCGAAACAATTAACTGCATTTGACAATTTCTAATTTGTTACAATATGTTTTCAAAACATGAAACGAGAATCTTATTTTGGCAAAAGTGATTTCATAACTATAATATTACAGAGGAGATGATCATTAAAAACACTTTTCAAAGACTTTATTAAAAATTGTTTTCTGTATTTTTTAATCCCACAACCCCCATTTCCTTGGGTCATGAAAGTGATGGAACTCATTTACACCAGATTGCAAGCTCTAGACCTCTCTACGATAACAGGGAACCATTAAAAAAAGACACCACTTAAGGAGGCTCAAAAGGGTTTTTCGTTGTTGCAGTGTTTGTGCAACGATGAAAGATTACAAAGAAGGATATTTAATGGGGTGGGCAAACTATATGTATCCTTGCAACTCTATTGCTTGGCTATACTTTGAGGGCACTTGTGACGTCATATCAGTTACCATGGTAACGCAGAAGGTCCACAAAAACGTCCACTAAATTTTAGTTTTTGTAAATTATCTGAAAAACTAACTCGGTGACCTACCATTTTTTTCTTTTTTGGAAAGTTCCCTAAATTCTTTAACTTTTCAGACAGTATGGAAAACTTTTATAAACCGAAACTTTTATATTTGAAGTGCCATCGTGAATGATGCGTGCATGCAAAAAATCAAGATAGGTCACCGAACAAAATTTCGAGCTAGAAACAAATGTATTTCGCAGATTTTATTTCCGGTTCGCGCAATTTCAAGCAACATTTAACTTCCGGGGTGCTGATTTTCCTTGACTTCCCCATGTGATTGATCTGAAAAACTCACACTACTTTCTCACCCAATCAGATTCAAAATTTGGGGGAGTTTCCAGTCAATTGTTGGTCAACACCCGCATAACCCACTAACAGATGATGGTTTTCTGGGTCGTGAGTTTTAAACTGGGTGATAACTGTTACTGTTTAACAAGTTGAACAGAAGCCTTAAACAAGGTGTGACCACTGTGTTGCTAAGTCTGCATATGTGGTGCTGAACTTATATTGCAAAAAATCGGTTTTTCAAAATGCCCAAGAACGGGCTGTTGTCATTACTATTGACTTACTTTCTTCAGTTGTAAATTGCTGACTCTTTATGTAAGTTCTCTCATAGACCACAGTTGCACGAACCTTCCTTTTGAAATGAGAAGGCTTTTTTTCCTGAGAGTGTCTTGACGATCCTTGAGTTAATCCGTTTGAATGTTGTCAAAACCAAAATTCTCATTTCTTGACAACCTTTTTCAATATTCTTATTTTCGACAAGAAAGGAATCTCTTTGCCTCTTTGCGGGTAACGTTAAATCAAAAACCCCGAGTCCTTGCGAATCACTAAGACCAATTTAATATTTAACAAATTTATTATTACACATGGATAGTTCCGTACGTCATGAGTCTAATGACGAAAAGCACCACATACTTCGGGAGTAACAAATAAAAGCGACTTGCAAACAGCACCATATACTTCGGGAATAACAAAGAAAAGCGACTTGAATGAAATATTTCAAAATTTCTGCGCCCAAGATAAAAGATTTAACTTGTCCACGCACACAAAAATGATCATTAGCGATGCATCGTGGGGTTGGAAAAAACACAAAATGGCTGAAAAAATCATGGTACATGACGGTAAGTTTCTTCAACCAAAACATTTGAATCCAAACGCAAAAGGGAATGAAAATTCGGGTCGAAACACCTGTTTCCAAAGCTCCGTCAAAATTATTTGTAAAACTGCGTTTTCCTTTAGAGAGTAATCTTGTAAATTCTGTTGTCGTGCTTAAAAAAGAGGAATTCAACTCACTCGATGAAAACCGAAGTAATATCTCCTGGAAAAAAAGATTTACAATAGAACCGACGTTTAGAATTAGCTCCTATGTACCGCAAATCACATTATAGATTACAATAAAAGCTTTACAAGTAATCAACGGGTCAACAATAGACTAACCTACCAATAACAATAATTGGTTGTTATCCACGCAAAGGGTACGTTGCCTTGAATATCGGTGCTTACATTCAAAAGTATTCATACAAGAAATCCCAAGTTTGGTATAAGCATATATAAGGAAAATGAAAACCGAAAAAACCTATTCATTCTGCGAGCATATTGTTTTAATACAGCTGTAGTGACGTGAAGTGGAAGTTCTTTAAGGAGAATTTCGACTTCTACGATCACGAATTAGGTGAAAATAATGTGCATTAAACAGAGATAAAAATACGGCCAAAAGATCAGAGAATCACCATCAAATAATTACCTCAGTTGACAGAGAAGTCGATTGTTTATGGATTTGGTGAAAGAGCAACACAAAAACAAAACAAAAAGTAACGTCGCCAGGAACACCTTGATATTTTAATGATTCGACGAACATATCTGAAAAACAAAAGGTTCGCATTTACATCTATGTTTTAAAATTAAACAATTTTTACGCTGAATCACAGATTTAAGAAACTCTCTTAAGCTTCAGTTTTCCCGTTGACGAATTCATTTCAATAAAAATTGAACACGTCAGGGGTTTTTAAAAAGCATTCGTCATCAATAATATTCCTCAGCTGTGAATCTAACTGTCCATTCATGAACGATAACAAAGTAATGATTAAAATGCACAAGAAAGCGATTACACAGCTGTCTACAATCGAACTCATGGCAAAAACTGATTGGTTTTTTGTTACAACCCAATGGGAATTCTTGTTTCAAATTTAAATGTTATCACTGACGATGCTCAGACATTGTATCCACATTTCTTAATAGAGTCTTTCAAAATACCTTAAACGGCTTTAAGATTTTCACTGAACTACAGAACTGAGAAATTCACCTGTTGTTATTTTTGAAAGGACAATGCAACCTGTTACCGGATCTTTTTATCTCATAGCATTTTCAGTAATTCTTAGTTTAAAATCTCCTTTTTCCGCCGCAGTAGAGCCGCACAAAGATAACTTTCACAAGCACGAGCATTTCGGTGCAAATCAGGAACACGATGTTCGCTACGATCACGAAGCCTTCCTCGGACCCGAGGCGGAGGAATTTGATCATTTAACTCCAGAAGAATCCAAGAAAAGGTTACGAGTTATTGTTGTAAAAATGATTGACACTAACAAGGATGGTCTGGTTTCGGAAGATGAACTTCGGGTGTGGATAGAGAAACAGAGAAAGGCATTTATGTACGAAGACGTCGACAAAAGAATCGCTAAAGAGGACAAAGATGGAGACGGTGAGATTTCTTGGGAAGAATACAGAAAGTCGGAATACGGAGAATGGGATAATTATGATCTTCCGAAGGACCACGTAAGTATTTTATTACAGTTGTCACATTGTAAGAAAACTAATATTTTCAATTCCATTTTTTTTCATTTGTAACATGTTACATCGTCGACATCACAACAGGTTAAAACAAATATTATACATATCGATTTCTATCACTGCTTCTCCGGCAAATAAATCACCAAATGTATCTCTTCTGGTAAATTTAATTCCCCTAATAGTTTTGCATGTACATCCAGTATTCCACCTTGATAAGAAAGACAAAGAAACCAATTTAAAATTCTGTCCGAAAAAATTTTCAAAGAGCACAGAGTGCAAAAAAAAAAAAAAAAAAAAAAAAAAAATGGAAAAGCAGCTAACCATTTGTTGCGGTTATATTCAAGGGAAAGTTTTTTTGAGCAAATGATGCAAGAAATACTCTTTGACCTGTGTGTGAAAGAAATGAATTGATCATGATATGAAAGTGGTCAACTGCAGTTACCAAAACAACTTCACAAAGTAAAGTTCGAAAAAGGAAGAATTTGACTTTCGACGGTGATTAAACCCGAGCCTGTTGAATTTCATTCCTAATCATGGCTTATTTAACTCTTTACTCACATTACTTTTACTTTTACTTCAATCAACAGAATTTACGCCGTCAAATACGAAAAAAAGAGTACAAATTCAGCATCGCAGACGCAGACAAAAATGGCAAAATGAACAGAGACGAGTACGTGGATTTTGAGCATCCGGAAGAGAACATAAACATGCAAGAAATTGCTTTGGATGAAGTCATCGAGGATGTGGATCAAAATGATGACGGGTATGGCAAAAACACGGAGAATCTTTTCAACAAAGTTAGCTCTTTTTATGATTTACAATTTCAGAATGTAAGCAGAGAATGCGGGAGTCTATTTCCTCCCACACACTCATACACATCGCATACAAAAAATACACAGTCATACAATCATAATCGTTACTCAATCCACTTAATTTGCCCCGTTTTAAAGTGACCGATCCGCCACAAATTCGGACGCGCAGGACATATTGACACGATGTACGCGCGAGACTTCCCTTGCTCGCACGCAACAGAATGCACGCATGAATATTATGGGGACCATTTTTTTTTCCATTATTATTAATTTAAACCTTCCTCTTACATATCACTCCAACCGGCTTGCAGGAGCTTTCACCAGAGCCACTCTCAGCCTGCACTGCTCTATGTTCCCCAGTCTTATATCGTTGGCCCGAATTATACTCGACAGCTTACGCCCTTGCATATTCCCAAACGATGGCCCGATTTTCAAAAGCTTCCATGGCTTCACTCACACGGCATCTTCTCTTTTTTTTATTTTTAGCCTCATCACCGTCGCTGAATTTCTAGGCCAGTACCACGAGGAAAAAGAACCTCCAGCATGGGTAGTGCGACACCGGGCAGAATTTCACTCAAGGTTCGACAAAAACAAAGACGGTAAAATGGACCGTGAAGAAGCGAGAGAATGGGTCTTTCCCGAAAAGAATGATTCCCATGACGAAACACTTCATCTGATCGACGGAACAGACGAGAATGCTGATGGTTTCCTCTCTGTTGATGAAATCTTACTTCACTGGAATCTGTTTGTTGGAAGTCTAGCCACTGATCATGGCAACACTTTGAGAAAAGTCAAACATACAGAACTCTAGTTCAGTGAAAAAAGTTGAGTTTGGGTGACACTACAACAGATAAACAAACTTAATAAATATATGCTAGAATCGATTAGTCTCAGTATTCTGTCAAAGCTATCTTCGTTTTCTATCAAACTAGCTTATCTCTTTTAATCTACAAATTAAAATTCTTGTAATCAGCGAGGGCCTTAAAGCATGGGATCGCTAGTAATCGCTGTATAGCTAAGATACTATCTTTCTAGACTAATTTTTTTGTTGTTAAAGGAAGCGATAACAAGCACAGCCAAAGTGGTTGTAAGATGTTTGGCTAATTACATTATGTTTTGATAATATTCGAGCTTAATATTTCCCAATAAAATGAAGGCTGATGATCTATTTTACAAGGTAGCGAAAGTCATATTAGTGTTAACGTTTGTCCGGGAAATAAATTTCTTTTTTTCCTTCCAGTTTGTGACGGTAGCTGATGTAATTTAATATGGATTACTTTTGCTTGAAAAACTGTAACATGAGACCTTCATCAATCTCCCTTTTAACAGGAAAATAACAGTAAAATGAATGCTGATGATCTATTTTACAAGGTGGCGAAATTCATATTAGAGTGTTAACGTTTGTCCGGGAAATAAATTTCTTTTCTTTCCTGAAGTTTGTGACGGTAGCTGATGTAATTTAATATGGATTACTTTTGCTTGAAAAATTGTAACATGAGGTCCTCATCAATCTCCTTTTTAACAGAAAAATAACAGTAGTTCATTATTCAATAATGATTTGAGTTTATTTACAATTCAGATCTAATAGGGCTCGACGAATTAAAAATATCTTCAAAAAAACTAGTTTGCTCAAAAGATGCGATAAAGTTTAGCAAGTTGCACACTAATTGTCAGTGTTAGTGACATTCTCCACGATCTTCAATCTGCGACATAAACAACTGTCGAACCTTATGCCGCTTATGCATGGCAATATCATCATACCGCTGTGCATAAATCCTATAGATCTCGCTGCGCCTCTCTCTGGTGTCGTTGATTGAAAGCCGTGGCTCCTCCTCTACAAGCCGCCGGTTGCAAGAGGGTGTCATACCAGCTTGCACCTTCACTTTTCCCGCCTTTTCTACAGTTCGCGCTTTTCCTGAAGGCTTGTTCTGAGTCTTACTCCCAATGACCGGGAGTTTAGAACCGGGGGCAGACTGGGAAAGAGGGAAAGGTTTTAATACGGTACACGTATGTCGGTTTACTAAGCCTATACGAACCTATCCCACTAAAACGACACTATTAGGCACGATTTCTCATCGTTTAATGTATCAACGAGTTATCAACGTTTCAAACTCATTGGTAAGAGCAGAAGACCACTTATGCTAGGTGAGAAAAAATTCTAAGGAAGACTTCACGTTTGAGTATTTTGCCTCAGCTTTACGTAAGGCAATAAAGGTGCATCAGTCTTCTGTTAAAGAGCACACACAAAAACCAAAACTGTTTACTTTTGGAAAAAAGGACATCCGTAACGTTCACTAAACGGTTTGAACGTAACGCTGCTTGCTGTTTAACCTCGTTTATTGACGATCCTACAATTCACTTAAACATTAAAAGTAAAAAGAACCAATCATCAGATGTTTACCTGAGCCCGAAGTAACTGAGCATGCCAGTAATTTGATATCGTCACATGACCTGCGAACTCTTTATTGATTCCTTCCAATCTACAGAAAAATTCAGTTTCAAATCAAATGCAACTTTTTTTTGAGGGGAAATTAGTGCATTGGACTAATGTGTTTAAGTCAAAAAAAAAAAAGATCAGGGAAAATAAAAAAAAGTTAATCGAACTGTTAACGACACCGCGCTCTGTGAGTACCCGTTAGAAGGTGTGTATCACAACCGCTAATGATATTTCCAAGGCTATTTCCAGATCGAGAATATCTTACCCTACAATTCGTAACAAAAGATTGACACCTTGCAAAATGAAAACGATTTAAAATTAAACCAGCGAGGACTCAAAAGTGATAAGGAGTGTTCCCCATAAGGTCACAGAAGCCATTTTGATGTACCAATGCCACGGAATGGCAGCCATGTTGGTGCACCAAGCTAATCCTCCGGGATTTTAACTCATTTCCAATGCAAACAATTTTTTTTCGTTTAGAGGCATTTTCATAGATGATCACAACTCGAGTTAAAGTGCTCTATACAAGCTCTAAGACACTGGAAACTTACTCTTTGGCAAGTGCCATCTTCAATTCATTTTCACTTCTATCAGACTTTGTAGACATCCATGGAGTCTCCATCACAATCTGCGAAAGAATAGACTATTATTGTTGTTGCTGTTTTTTTTTTGTTTTGTTTTTTGTTTTTTTTTGTTTTTTTTTGTTTTTTTTTCAACATTATGCACCAGGTGGCCAACAAACACTCTTGTTTCACTACAGGCCATACTTTATACACAACTGTTACCGTAAGTACCGTTATTTTCGACAGTCTCACTCGTTTTGTAACTAGTCGATCTCTTGCTAATTTGAAGGTTGATCACAGCTATATCGTTAGAACAATCGATGCTAACGCTAGAGAAAGTCAGGCACTTGAAGCATATACCCATAAACCAAAACTAAAATGACAGAAATTGTCACAAGGAACGACGGAGACTAAAAAGTTAAAAGAAGAGTGAGCGTCGAAATCGTGTTGGTTGTAGTCTTGTATGTGACAGTTTAAGAGTGTAGTGCGCGTTTTCTAAGTAGAGTAAAGTAAAGCAAAACCAATGCAATCTTGGATTTTCCACACATTCCCATACTAAGTAGAAATAGCACTCATTGGTCTCATAGCGAATACTAAAATATAAAACTGACCTGTTTGGATGGAGTGAGCTGGGGCGAGAGTGAGGCAAGTTTGGGGGGACGTCCACCAGAAGAGACAGACTGAAACAAAAGATGCCAAGAGGATCATGGTCATGACACGTGGTTTGGGAAATAGAATACTAGTGATGTTCTCAAAACGTTTTTGTTGTTGTTTTAATGAGGTCCACAAGTAGTATGAGGTCGCTTAAAAGTCGCTGTCAACTAAAACATTATACTTCATAGTTTCTGTTTCTTGTAACAATAAAGGGAAAATGCGAAGAAAATATGAAGAAAATGGAGTATTTATTGTCCTACTCAAGTGGAATGCTGGTCTATCGCATTTTACGCCACCCCTCCCCACCCCCTCAGAATTTCGTCTGGTTACCCAGACAGTTCGCTGGTCTCCATTTCTATTTATCTCGTTGGTGGGAGGGACTGGGAGGCACTCAAGCGCCAATCAGTAGGTCACCGCTTCTCAAAGGATTAAAGTTGAATGGGATTTACTGATGCATAGTGCCGGTATAGACCAGTAACAAGAAAATTGTTCTTAAGAAACACAAGGTATTTACCTCACGAAGGGAAGAATAAGTCCGTGTTTTCCCTTTCTCGATGTAATCTGTGGAGGAAGAAGACGATTAAAATTTCGTTGTTGTTGTTGTTTCTTGGAAAAATAGGAGGAAAGAAGAGAAAGGCAAGAAATGAAAGAAAGAAAACACATTCCACTACAACAACTTTCCCTTAAAAGTTTGCGCCTAGATTTATGAAGGGTTTTATCCCCTTACCAAGCAAAGCTGTGACCACAGCCAGTGTAGATTTCAACATGAGCTGGTTTCCTTCGGTCTTGTTGAAAAGTAACGACTGTCCTACTTCGTAAAAGCCAAAGGAGGCGAGGAGCTGCTGCAACTCAGGATTGTACCACAATGAGCGGAGGACAAAATCACTCGTCTTCATGATCCTCTCAGGGTAACGACTGCTTAAGCTGAGCTGAAGCGGGTAAAAGAGCGTATGATTATCGTAATTCACATTATTATTAGAACGATTCTGAAATAAGTATGGGTAGTAGAAGCAGTCGTGGGTATATGTCCAGCTCCACTAGAGAGTTCATCGCTGCAGAGTAAACTGAAGTGATGAGATACTTACAAATTCTTTGAGCTTTTCCATGGTGTTTTTCTTCAAGGTGTTTGTGATCTTAGCTAAGGCGTAACCTCCACTGGAAGATTCCTTCAAGATATCTACACAATTGAACAAATAAATATAAATAAATACTGAAAACAAATAAACAAAAAATGAGCAAACAAAATGGTGAGATTACGCGAGTTATCAATACTAATTTTCCATAAACTTCTTAAGAAAGCTACGTCTAGAAAAAAACGTTAGCCCGGAAATTTGAGACTTTTAATTTGCTATCTGTTTATGTCTACAACATCATTAACCACTCTCGTCTATTTCTGGTTCATTCTTCCTGTTTTGGTGATTTTCAATATCACCAAACATATCATTGTGGTTTCTATTCCGTGAAAGGCAAATATACTTATCGAAGAAAATGATGTAAAAATAATGTAAGAAAGCGCCTCTACTGAAGCACATTTTATGAGGGACTAAACGAACGTAGCTCATCGAGCAGAGTTACTTATTGCTCCTATGCCTCGCAATAACCTTTACGTCCAACTTGTCCACGACTATTGATGGCATGTGAATGCTACTTACCGCAAACAGCCTGCAGGATTTGTGACGTCATAGTCAGGGTCCCGTCAGGGTCCCAGTGAGGAAACACAACAAACGGATCTTTGTCATGTGCACCGTCCATTTGAAAGTCAAACCCTAAGAAGATGAGGAACTCTCTGGCACAAGGGGACTCCAGAACATGGGAGCTCAGTTGTGCACACATGGTTGGGTCCCCCTTAAGGAGGAGCTCAGGATGGTGAGTTAATAAGTGCATTTGATGAGCCAACTGTATCTGAAAGTTTGAAAATTGAAAGAGAGTGAGTGGCCAAGGGGTTTAGAATAGCCGTCAAAACACTCAAAACAAAGAGAATGGTTCAAGGGATCAGTTTTGGAATAACGAGTCAATACATCTCAAACTATCCGTGAAAAGATCATCTGAGATCTTAGAGAATGGTAGACTTTTGTACGACTAGGGGTAGGGCATATGACCCGATCATACACTTGATAACTTACATACATTGTACACTTGATAGCTTCGGATTTGATTATCCAAGATTAAAAAAACGCATTATTAAAATTATTAATTATTATTATTGATTATTAAAATGTATTACAAATTGTATTCCAGTAAATGGTTTGAACAGGAAGGTAATATGTGATAGTGTAGTTTGATCGTTCGGGTGAGTGTAATCCTGAGAAGGACTGTTGTCAGTAGTGGTTACTGACGTTTCGACAATATGAGCGGAACTCATTAAATTGTTGAAACGTTAGTGACAGCTACCGACAATAGTCCTTCACAGGACATAACTGAAGGTTAATAATTACATAACACAGAAATAACAAGAATTCATTGGTAGTGCACCCGTGAAGTTAGCTCTTATCTTACCAAGTCCCGGAGAGCTGGCAGCACATGCGATACTGATGTGTGCTGTAATAAGAGCTGTGTCAGCATCTCTTGAAATTTCTTCACTTTAAACGTAACTGAAGGGACTACAAAGTTAAATAAAAACACCCAATAATGAATAAGAAATACTATTTTAGACGCCTTAAACTATTAAGCTTTCCAGATCTAACCTGGAATTCTGATTTCTAGCTCCTATACTTTTCACTGTTAATTAGTTAAGAGAGATTGATGTTAACCGAGATATCACCCACTGACCGATAAGTAAGTTACTTCTCATCACCTGTTTGTGGATCAGTTAATGCTATTCTTAGCAGAGGTTACATACTTATCAATTCTCGGCGTTGAAGGATTCAAAGGTCCGCTGCTTCGGAAAAAGTGTCCTGTATTCGACTCAAAATGCAACTCACTTTTTTCCCTTCCGTTCCTGGGACTTTGTCTATCACTCTAAGAAACGATCCTATTCTCAGGCTTGCCTGTCAGACTGCGTAATCCGTGATAGGAAAGAGATGTACGAGAGCCACATATTGCAGAAGATGATTGAATAGTAGACTCTCGCTACCCATTTAAACCGCCAAGAACCACCTCCGCCATAACTTGTTGATAGAAAGTTCCTTAAAAATCAGAAAGAACAAAACTGCCAGACTAACCTTTGCTGTCCAGTGTCTCTGCAGTGACCAGAGGGAACCTCTCCGGAGATGAACTTTTCACCACTTGATCCAATACCCCATCAAACAGCTGATGCCTCAGCTTCATGAAATTTACAGTGGTGTCAAACCCAACATGAACAAATGACGCCCAGGAGTCTGGGGTCGACATGTGCTCAACACTCCTCAAAAGGGTCCACGCTTCTTTTAGTGATTCACTGACAGTTCGGCCCTAAAGACAACAGTTAAAAATAAAAACATAATAATCTCAAAATCACTATGACTGGCTAGCACTAAACAAACGAAGTGCTACTGATTTACGTATTTCGCGTTCTGTCTATTGTGAGGTTCTCCAGTTTCGATATACGATAAGATTGAAACTGCCTCCTTACGTCTCATCCTTCATTTTCAATTTTTTGTATACTCCTTGCAAGGGCGAGGAATTTAGTAATATTTAGATACACGATGAAAAGTTTATTCAATCAGTTAATTACTTTTTTAACCGGCATTAATACATGATTTTCCATGATAAACACTATGTTATTTGTCTCTTCTCGGGGAGGAAGGAAGAACGGAACAAAGAGATTGACGGAAATAGAGCGTACACTGTATGTTACTCAAGGGTGTTATCATACCATAAATGGCTGACTGTACATGTAAGCCACATACCTTTTCCAAACCAGTGTAGAACTTATAAAACAAGTTCAGCATTGCAGCCTGAGGGGCAGACCACAACGGCATCATCACAGACTGTACACCAGCTGCCAGGAGAGCTGTGGCTAGGTGGAAACTTGCATGCTTCAACTGGCAATACTGGTGGCCACACCCACAGCATGCGTTTAACACCACAAGCTTAGCGGACAATTTTAACATGGCTATGTCCGACACTGTCACTAAGAATGCATCTTCTGATGGAGGGTCGCCATAGTGATGCGTGTTTGGAGACAGAGCAATACAGGCATCTGGCCAGCTTCCGTAAGTCACCAAATGAACCACGCTTGTTTGAGGCAACATCGTAAGAAAGTGCTCCTTGGTTGCCTGGCGACCAGTGACTGGATCCGCCCCCAGCAAGGACGCAATAATGTTCACCTCTTCTTCAGCGAGACCAGATTGTTTCTTTGGACTCCATACTTTCCCATTCAACTCTACTCTAGAAATGTCTGGATTTCCTTGAACGAGAATCTCCAAAGAATCTGCCACTTGTTTCCCTGCATTTGATTTAAGCATTTCTCCTTTCTGTGAAAATGTTCTAATGCATGGCAGAGTTCGAACATTGAAGAATTCATGCAAGAATTTCCCTTCTTTGTCTTGTAAACTAGAAAAAGGAACTGAATTAACTTCCAAGTCTGGAATAATAACCAGTTCATTGACGCCACTTCCAAGCTCAATTTTCAGCTCATCCTCAATAGGACTTAAAAGCAGATGATGCAGCTTCTGAAGCGGTGTCAGTTTGGTAGAGTAAAAAAATTCACAATAATAGCAAGATTTTTTGTCTTCTTTTTCATTCACTGACTCACTGCGTTTTCCTGTTACAGATTCGGGTAGGGCTCGGTGATCACAATTGTAACTCTCCTTGTAGTTGCCGTGAAACTCTTCGATGCAATGTTTAATTTTGTTGGTAAATGTAGAATGGTCACAACTCTTGTGCCAATGACATCTCACGATGCCCTTCCCTGGCGACAGAACCCACAAGAGGAAGCCAGTAGGAATAACAGAAAAGAACAACAATGCTGCTTGCTGCAAATCAACGATACTCGTTATATCCTTTGCTGAGTATGCTGTAACAAGTCGCTGACTTGGTGTTGACGAGGCCTCTGAATTGGCTAGAATTTTCTTATGTCTAATAATGCTGACAAGAATTCGTGATCTGCAGTGTTCGGCAATTTCTAAGGCCTCCTCTTCTAGATTCATCTCAATCAGGGCTTCTTGCAGGTCCTTATAACACTGATCCAGCTTTTCAAGCAAGGGATCTCTGTAAATCAATCTATTACCATGCTTTGACAACAGCTTGTCTTCCAAGACAGGAATGGCTTTGTTGAAGTACAGACGGGAAGTTTCAAAATTTCTCATGGCTTTTGAAATCTGTGCAAGGGCAAGATTACATTCCAGTTCTTCTTCTAGATCATTTTGCTCAACGGCCAATTTCAAACATGTGTCATAATAATACTGAGCATGGTGTAACTGGTGAAGGTCTCTGTAGCAAGCACCAACAAGTCCATATGCCTTACATTGAAGTGCCTCCATCTTGTTCAATCTGGCAAGCTGCAAATGCTGCTCAAAATAACCAAGAGCTTTGGCATGTTCCCCCATGAGTTTATAAAGACATCCAAAGTTCCTAAATGCAATAACTTCTGAGACTTTATCATTCAAGTTCTGTGCGAGTTTCAAGTGTTGCTCATGATTGACAGTTGCTGATCGAAAGTTACCCATGTTTGCATACACTGTGCCAATATTGCCAAAAGCATAAGCAGCACCATGACGATCATTAAACTTCTTGCAAAGTTGTAGTTCAATTTTGTGGCACTCCAAAGATTTTTCATAATTACCTTGCAGTAATTCCAGTTCACCTAGATTTGAATAAGCTGTGGTTAGATTTCCCTGGTCAATAAATTTCAATAATTCCATGTACTCTTGGGCATGGTGTAGGGCTTTTTTGTAGTCACCCATGAGTTTGTATGCTGCTGATAAATTCCAGACTGCTGTTCGTTCAATGTCATTATTCCAGTATTTTTTAAATGTTTCTTTATCCTCACCACTTCTCTGCAGATCTCTTCCCACACCTAACAGCTTGCCATTGTAAGACACAGCTTGAACATACTGTGCAAGTCTATGATGGATGTTTGCAATTTTAATGTAACACTTTATTTCATATTCTTTGTCCTTTAAATCTAAAGCTACAGACAGACACTTTTGAGAGACACAAAGAGCTTCACTGTATTGGTACAAACAGTAGTGAGCTTCAGCCATAACAAGCAGTGCCAACATAACTGCTCTGCCATTCTGTAGTGACCCTTGGCTGTCTTCACGGCTTTCCCTTTCTTCTGTTCCATCATTACCAGTTGCAACATAAATTGATGCAAACCCATACCCAGAATGAGAGACTTCTGAATCAAACTCATTAGAGACATGGTTGTGGCTTTGCATATCTTTCTTTGTCTTCTCAAAATCTTTTTCACCATGCTGGTGTTTGATGCTTGCTTGTGAGTACAGCAGCTGTTCATCCCAACCATAATGTGCCTTTAAGGCTGTCATGATGACACTTATGCAAATCTTGTAGTTTTCTGTTTCATACAACCTTTTGCCAAGTTGGACAAAACTCTCAAAGTTTTGAAAGCTTGCTCCTGAAATTAACCAGATATAAGACATGTTAATCACAACTACAATGAAAAATATAAGAATTTAATTACCTGTATATATGAAATGTTTCATTATAATTAAAAAATGAATATTATTGACCATACAATAACTGAAGACTTCTTCATTAACTTTAGTGGCCAATCCAGGCTTTGAAATAGGAAAAGGAGTGCACCATTCTATTTTAAGTTTTTGAGAGTCTTTGCATATTAGCCTATTAGCATAAGCCTAATAAGCCTGCATCTGGTTGAGACAGTTGCGATAAGCAAAAACTATTTACATATCAAAAGACTGAAAATGTGTTATTGACAGTACCTTGGTCTGACAGAGAAATTTCTTCTATCTCTGACATTTGGCAGATGCACCCAACAGCTCCAACAATTCTTAGCAGGAGTTCAGTTGGGTGTCCTGGGTCCAGCTCATAAGCCTTCAAGTATGAACTTAAACTTTCTCTGTAGTTTCCAAGGTTTTCAAGTGAGACAGCTCTCAAAAAATGGCCCTGTATTTCCAAGAATAACCAGGTTGTTGTCATGTTTTAACCAGACTGGTTAATGTATATGTAAATATAATTTAAAATAAATTTGCAACAAGGGCCCATTGGGCTTGAGCTTATTCTAGTTTCTTGTCATCAAGGGACCACAAGTATATTGGTTGATCATGGATTACCAGTTGAGAACATTTTTTTCCAGGTCTCCTTAACAAATCACCAATACTCATTTACTTCTCTTAGTGAAAAGAAGTCCTATTCAACTTAAGTGATTTTCTTAGGAAAACTATGACCCAACAGAAGCTTTACCTTGGACCTCCCAACCCAGAATACAACCACATCAACCCTTTACTGCCAGTCATCTGTTGCATACAAATTAAAGAACAGTTTTTAAGATAGCAATTGACTGTATTACCTCCAAAAAATTATAAAATCCACTATCACAGATATCAAAGCTATTTGGCACTTATAGTCTTAAAAAATGGGGTTGATCACAAACCTACCAACTGTTGAAATCTGATCTGTAGCTCAAGTGACTACTGTTCATGATAATATCAAATTTATTATGAAATTTTTGAAATGTTATGGTTGCAATTAGAAACTGAATTTCTTTTTTAAAAGAAGTTAAAACTTCCTCAAAATCATATTATGTGATTGTGCAATTTTTTACCTTGGGTTTCTGTGGAATTATGCTTATAAGACTTTCAGCATCCTTTTTGGATTCATTGAACATGCCTAACTTGGCATACACCACTGATCTACAGCCAAGAACATCTTCATTATAAGGTGAAAGCATCAAAGCATCAGAGTAAAAACTGATGGCTTGAAGGTACTGTTCATTTTTAAAGGCTCTGTCTCCCTTTGAGCAAAGTGCTCTCAACTGCAAATTAAGAAATGAAAAAAAAACAACCTTGGTATAATTCATCTTTGAATCCTCTCATTTTCCAGCTTAGGGTGTCAAACTCAAGTTATTTTGAAAATCACTCTTTAGCCCCCTTAAATAGTAAAATGGTTGCCAGAAGAAAATTATCCAGGCACTGAAAAAATTATGCAATAACTGGATCAATGTCAGTATCTGAGCAACTACACACCTACCCCTCCCCTGATCTAACAACAGTCAACTGAGGACAAGTTAGGGTTAATATTGGATTAGGGGAGGGGTATGTGAGCAGTTGTTTAGTTACTGACATTGATCCCAATATTTAATGGAATACTCCTTTGCTAAGCATATTGCTTGTCTTTGGGAAATGCATGGTCAACAGAAAGTGATGGAGTCGTTATAGCATTGTATGCCATTTTTTCATCTCACTTCAACTTTGCATCATAAACACTACATTTTAATACGAAAATTAACCCTTTCACTCTCAAGATCTTACTGGAAATTTTCCTTACTGTGTGCCAAATATTTCTTCTCAAATCAATTCCAAGAAACTAGTACTGGATCAATAAAAAATTCTGTAGTAGATATTTCTATCATTTCATCATGTGTTTGCTTGATATTGTATTTAAATTGTAAGGAGAAATTATGTCTTAGTCAAAAAAAATTGGCGACTTTCGCTGCAAATTTAATCTCCAACGTTTTCTCTGACAAGCCAAGGCAGCCATAAATGGCTGTAGCTCAAAGCCGCTAGCTTAAATTTCTCTCTCTACTATAGAATAATTTAATGCAGTTGGGATGATACAGCAGATGGTTAACAAGGATTAAGATGGTGTCTTGAACTGTCGGTTTAAATGTTCATCGTGATTTAGTTCACTCGTCATTTGCTTACTATACCAGTATCTTCCACAGTTAAACATAAGACAGGTAAAGATTTATATGATGTTTAGTATCATAATTCGTGATATTTGTAGGGACAAAACAAATCTGACTCACCTTTTCCATGGCTGAAGTTCTTTTTCTTGGATTAATAATTCCAGTTAAACTATCATAGAATTCAACAAGTCAACTATTTTTTAAATGTAAAAATTTGATTCAAACTTCGACTTCACATTACAGCCATCCATAGAAAGAAGGAAGAATAAAAACACAATTAAGACTTCAACTCCTTGAGTCTAAATTTTCACATTTCAGACGATAATGAGACTACTTTAACGCCACTTATCAAATAAACTTCACTTAAAGAGGCTTGTTTACAACATGGACGAACTCTCCGCCATATTGATTTGCTTGGCAACCGGCGCGACTCGGTCCTAATCTCTTCGCAGTTTAACCAAAAACGCCTTACAAATTATGGCCATTTGCCTGCCTTGAAGCTGTTAAATTTTTAATAAGACCACATTTCTTTGATTTTAGGATCTTTTCTTTCCCCCAAGGCTCCATTGTATCAGACGACGTTTCATCGACGTATTTGGAATTTTTCAAAGGAATTGTCACAACATTTATGAACAATGAAAGCTAAATTGACTGCAGCGAGCTCTTTACTATTGACTGTCCTCTTCCTCTGTTTCCTCAAAGGCACGGAATTAGTAACTAGTGGTGACTTGATTGAGTTCCGTAAGTGGTTTGATGATCGTGGTGGAAAATGCCGTTGTAAATTTCTGGAAAGGAAATACCACAAGCTCACTGCTGTAGCAGATAGACGTATTGTAGACAAAGAGTCCATTTTGATGGTTCCCGAGTCTTTACTAGTGAACTCTGCCACGATTAAAAAGTACAGTAGCGCCCTCTCTAGAAGTATACATATTTAAGCTGTTCAATTTAAAAAATACATTCGTTTCTTGAATCCATGTTATACTGTCAAAAGTAGCCAAAACCGGCTGTTGAGGTGTTTCAAGTTTGCTGTTCAAATTTGAAACTTGAGCGGTGAAGTATACCTTGTTGCCCCGTAATACTGATGTTAAGTCATGAGATGTGAACATTGTTGCTATATCACTTCTTCCCAAAACAACCTCTGATACCCATGCTAGTCTCAACATAGTCCTAATTTCAAACAAGTCCTACTTAAATAGTCCTACTGTCAAACTACGTATTAGAGGTTCTATATTTTGGCAGAAGTTATATAGTATCGATGCCTACATCTTACGATTTAATAGGAAGTCAGGTGAAGCAAAGGTGAATGGCTGAAAGGAAGAGAGGAAGAAAAGGGGGCTCATTTTAAGAAAAATATATTGCATTTATGAGCCTCTAGAATAATAATTATAAAGGGTATTATGACCCTGAAACTTAATTGTTTTCCCAAATTCATTCCCTGTCCCTCAAATTGAATTTCAATCACACTGTCACTTATATTGTTAGCAAATGGAAAAAAAAAGAATCACCCCGACAAAGAATTTCTACCTGGAAGGGATCTAGGTGGGAAGCTAGAAAATACAAAATTCCATATGGTGATAATCACAATGCAATAAGTATTTTATATTAGTAACATTTCCTGTTAATCCTGGATGGGCAGTTCAGAGCTAAGAATTTAGTGATTCTTGTGTGGTTTCAGGTCAACGATTGGTCCAACGCTGGAGCAGCTATCTCTTGTTCAGCACCAGATCCTTAACCATCCAGATTACTTGGAACGACAAGTAATGCAGTTTATGCAGATGGCAATATTTGTGCTTTATTCTGTTCACACCAGCGATGAGCAATGGCTACCTTACTTTAATATCCTCATAAACCATCAATGCAATGCTTTGTGGATGTGGAGTGAAGAGGAGCTGAGAGAGCTGCAAGATGAAAAACTACTAAGGAGAGCAATTGAATGGAAGGAAATGGTCTCTAGGCTGGCAGCTAACATAACACCAAAACTGAATGGCTTTGGCTTGTTCTATGGAAAGGACCTTACTCCAGAGACCTTGGTAAAATATTAAGAAATACCTTAACACCAGTAGTTGATGCCAGTTTAAGTAGAAGGGTACCTTATCAGGGATTATTCTTATTTTTGTTTTGCTTTTTTCATGTGACAAATATGTGTCAGTGTCTTTTTTTCAAGGTTGAGTAAGCAGGTGTTTCCCTTGATCTGTAAACCCTTTAACTCACATGAACAGTTCCTTGTGATTCCAATGTGATATCTTGCTAACAAAACTTATGAAAGTTTGAGTCAAGTAACATCACATTACCGAGGAGTATCGTATCGTTGCAGGAATTTTCATTTTTTGCAGTAAGTATACTGAGAGCTTTACAAAGATAGTGGACTCTTGTTTATGTTACACTGCTTGTGCTGGAAAATTTAAGTAATGCATGAATGACAAAAGGAACAGTTCAGATCTATTGTATACACTTATCTAGCAGTAATAAAGGGGGTAAGTTTCTAAAGAAACTGTGGTGCTGCATTCGGTGGGAGAGTATAGCAGGTAATTTAGTGTTGACAGCTGAGTTAAAAATGTAAATTGGCCACCGCAAAGGGTAAACAAGCTGATGTTTCAAGCCATCATTCCCATCGCTCTGACAAAGGGCTAACACTCAAAACGTCAGCTCTTTTATCCTTTATGGTGGCCAATTTACATTTTCAACTTGGTTGTTAAAACTAAATTACCTGCTATTTAGCAGTAAAGTTGTTATATAAAAAAGGAAAAGGAAAAAAATGCCAAATCTGAATTAATTATCATATAGCATAAGTACATGGCATTGTTATGTAGATTTTTTTATTCTTGGAATGGCTTGAAATCTCTAAACAACGTCTGGTACTCTAAAGAAGTTTAAAATAACTTTTTAGTATAAAAATTGCATGAAAATTATGCAGCTGCCAAGCAGATAAGCCTGAGGGTTGTTTTAAAGGCTAATAAACTCCTCTTTGGCTTTTTCCTTTTTGGCGTTTTTTATTTTTTTATGACAAGTTATTGCAGTTAGGTGTATGTTGCATTTGTTTGTTTGTATGTTTGCTTCAGATAAATGCAGTTTGTGCAGTTCAATCAAACAGTTATAATATAACAAGTCACTCTGGACGCCTGGTCAGGACCCTGGTGCCAGTAAGTTAATTTTCTCTACAGTCTGATTTGTTATTTTTCCTCAAGTGTTCGACCTTAAACTACCATTTTGCTTCTTTCTGTGTTGAATAAGGAAAGCTTTCTGTGTTGTCTTATTTTCACATATCCACCAGGAAATTTTTATTCTATCTACAATCACTCATCCTTATCTTTATGTCATGTGATGCATACATTGGAGCTCACTAAAGAATACCTGATCAAATGCACAAGTATCTGGGTCGTTCACCTCTGCCAATGTCATTTTCTGCATAACTTGCACTTATTGCAAAAAGTTATACATTGGTGAAACACGAAGACGACGAGGTGACCGATTCCAAGAAAACCTTCGCGACGTTGGAAGAAATGACAAGGACGCATCCAAACCAGTTGTTAGACACTTGAGTCTCCCCAATCATTCTAAACAGATGTAGGGAAAGGCCGCAGTTTGCGGCCTTTCCTTAAATCTAGGCAGTTCGGAAAGTCGTAAAACTCTAGACCAAAAATTTATCTCCAAATTCGGCACTCTTAATTCCAACGGTATCAACGAGCGCTTTCCGTTCAACTAATTTGTTCTTGTTTTCTTGTCACCATATTTCCACCAACAGCGTAGCTCCATTTTCTGCATATAAACCCACACACAACCCACAATTCCTCCAATCACTCTGACGAAGGGCTAACGCTCCAAACGTCAGCCTTAAAACTCTTTGCGGTGACCAACTTACGTTATCAACTCAGTTGATAACACTAAATTACCCTGTTATACTCTCCCACCGACGCAGCACCACAGTTTCTTTAGAAACTTACCCCCTTTATTTAGAAATGGCTTACTACTCAGCCAGGGCTGGACCCTAAAATGCCCGCCATTAAAACTGACTCCTCTCCTTTAAAACATAAGGTCTGTGGATCTCTCTAGAAACTACCATCGTGTTAACCTTCAATATTTGGTGCGAAATTCGGATCGAAAAGTTTAGCTTCCTTCTTAACAAAGTCACACTTGTTGTTGAAAACTTATGTTATTTTCTTTTCAGGGCCTTAACATGTTTGCATATCGGCCCAGTGTTGGTGGAACATGGTGGACCAAGGGTGGCGCCCTACGTTACAGACGTGTTAACACTACAATTGAGGAAGGAGATACTATATTCATTGACGTTAATCCGAATGGTGACAGCGTTCAAACGCTTCTGCAATATGGCTTGTTCGTTTCTGAGGGAAGCAAATTCTTCACTCCTTTGCCAGAGCAAAAAAGCAGGATGCGGCGAAGATTTGTGGACATGTTAAAACTCAAGAAGAAAATAAAATACAGCGAGAAATTCACTTTTAAGGCAGCAGGTCTTCCAAGTTTCAGAGTACAAGCGCTTTCGGACAAAGATGTCGACGCTTTAGTGAGAGCAGGAAGCAATCCGAGCAAATTATCTGAGTTAAAGAAAGTATTTAACAGTCCATCGCTTCATGTTGGAACCAACCCTTCATACTCTTGCAAGGACGAAGTGGTCGCCTTAAATTTGTTAACGCTTCACCTCAGAGATGAAATGTTAGGTAGAACTACTGGAATGCCAAAGGATGAAGAGATCTTGACCAAGGATATTCCAACAAGGCAACGTATTGCTGTGGAATTTAGACTGAAGTTTAAAAAGCTTGCTACGAATTATCTTGATATAACCAGCGCTCGAGCGATAGAGACAAAAAGGGAATGTCTGTCTAGAAAGAGAGATGAACTTTAACCCTTTTTTCGCAGCCCGTAACTTGTGTGCGTTCCACCATACTCGAACTACCAAATTTAGTCTGAAAATATCCCAGGAAAGTTCTCCAGCACTGAATTCAAATTTTCAGATGGCTGAATTCTAAAACGTTTACCAGAGACTCACACATCCTCAAGGGCTACGTTTGAATTACTTTTCATCAGTATGTCAAACCTCAGGTCCAGAAAATAATTTATGTTGCTATTTATGTCCACTATAATTTCCTCGATTAATAAATGCATATTAAGGATTGATCGTTTGTTTGAAGTTTCAAACGCTTAAGACTCTGCGCCAAAATGCGTTGGTAGGTGAGTACCCAAGGTCGGATTGCACTAATGAATGCCCTTGTGTGACATACTTGATCTCATTTTCATTAACAACATGGGCGACATTTGGAGACCACGTTACAAACCGACTTTTATTCAGTCAAGTCTTTACCTGACAAACAGCAAATAGTACTTGTCATAAAACTCGGAGTGAGATGGCTCAATGCCAAAAGTTAGTCTCATGTTATGGTTCTTTTTTATTGAAATCCTGTTCTTCCTCATTAGGGGCGCAATTAACATTCCAGCAGTTTGACTATGTTTCAGGATCAAGTTTGGATTCAAAACAACAGCAAATTTAGCATGTACATTGGGTGTGGTCACCATCAAGAGAGCTTGGTTATGGTGAACTAATCGATTGTATAATTACAGTTGACAGGAAGGCAGAAGCTTCCTATCATATTTTGCTTTCATACCCCATTAGGGAAGTTATCAGATGTCTGTTACTTTCAAGCGATATCTATTTGAAGACTGTCATTTCAATTTCGATCGGGCCATCAGTTTCAGTCAATAAACTTCCTCTGCCTGTCGGTATGGTCTTGATTTTAAGCTCGCTGTTGCTGTAGTCTGGAGGAAAATCTTCATCTTCCAAATCCTCCTCACTGATGAAACCTGATGATTCTTCAGCTCCACGGCTTCCACGACGTTTTAAATTAAATATTTTGTCAATGCTGCTCTGAAATCGCTCTAGTTTTTGTTTTCTTTCCCTGTGACGCTTAACTCCAATACGGACAAGGACACGTTCCATGCTCCGTCGGACTGCTCGTCGAATCCTCGATGGAAGTTTTCGAATCCTACAGAAAATTTTGCTTAGGGTTAAAAGCTAACCTTTGATGACTTTTAGATTCTGAGTTTTTTTCTAAGATTTCTAGAAAGACAGAAGTAATACAGCAAACCAGATCAATGATGTCAATCAGGTGGTACGAGCATATCTAGAGGGTATTACCGTGCATTTAGCACTCTTTTTGCTAAGATATTTACAACAATTTTGATGAAGTGCCTTGACATGTCTCAAATGCTTTAAGACCTAATGCGCAATACTCCTCTCGAGAAATTCATAACCTCCCCCCCCCTTCCCCCAACCCCCGCCTGCCTTGCCCCCGCCTTGATCAACATATTTTCTCCCATCAGATGCGTTTTCGATGTACATACTTGAAAAAGAGCATTTGTTGTTACACACGAACAAACCGGTGGATTTCTGGAAATTAAAGTTGGAGGCACATTATGCAACAAAGAAATAACGAAATCCGTGCCAGTTCACTTAACTGTCTCCCGACAATGCGCAGATTTTGTTGTAATCTTGGAAGAACAAGGTCCATCTTGGGCAAAAATTTCAACCACTGGCAATGAAAATAATTTGCGCAGTTGTCAGGAAAAAATAACTTTCACATAATAGCAAGCTTCCAATTAGAAGCAAAATACAAAACGAACTCGAAGAAACTTATCACTTAACGAAGTACCTTTGTAGTTGGCACACTTTGTCCCGAAAGATATTTTGCAACACATTACCAACTGTAACGTGGTTTTTCAAAACTATAAAACAAAATTACTATCTCTTGATTGTCTTGCATGTCTTGTATGTCGCGACTTTGAACAGAATTTAATTCAAATATGACGTCACAATTTAGATAATTACGAGCGCAAAGGGAAAGTCAAATTAAATCGTGAGATTGTCAGTCACTGAGATAATGAGCGTTTACTTGTAGACAAAAAGGGTTACTTAGGCTTCGTCTTTTTAAACTACGAAAAGGTCAGAGTGTATAGCCGGAGAGTCGAGTCACTTCTCTTTTCTTTACGTCATTAAAAAATGTTTCCTTGTGTGTGTGTGCGTGTGTGTGGGTGTGTATCGGACAATTTGTGTAACTGATGTTTTCCATTTGTATAGAAAAAGAGCGCAACTTTCAATTTGTAAAGAAAAAGAGCACAACTTTCAATTTGTAAAGAAAAAGAGCACAACTTTCAATTTGTAAAGAAAAAGAGCACAACTTTCAATTTGTAAAGAAAAAGAGCACAACTTTCAATTTGTAAAGAAAAAGAGCACAACTTTCAATTTGTAAAGAAAAAGAGCACAACTTTCAATTTGTAAAGAAAAAGAGCACAACTTTCAAAAGCACCAAAATATCGCATTACTCTACCTTAACCTAAGAAAAAAGATAATTCAAAAATGCTCAATTTTTTAATCGAGCTCTACAGGAACGCTCGAGTCGAAAAATACAAGCCGTCTTTTCTCTCTTTTGGTCGCCAAATCTGCACCTTGGTCCCAGGCGTTCTTAGCGGAGATGCTAGAATCTGGGGATGAGAATCGCGAGCTTCCCTCAATAGGTTTGCCTCTGTCCCTGATATCACACTATTTTTTTTTGTGCTCAAATATCTGGATGGTGGTACAAAGGCCGAAATTTTTGCCTGATTACATGGAGTTATTAACATAATTTAAAATGACATCTGTCGCCACAGGATAAAATTATATGGCTAGTTTTTCCCTCTTTTAGCTCCATCCTTGATGAAATCTCTTTTTATATCTTGATCACGTTTGCATCATAGATGTAGTAGCCTGCCCTGGCTGATGGCTCGGTCTGTCGGGTAGGGTAACCCTATCAGCCAAGGTCGCTATGTGCCATGCAAACGTCTCAAGGAGGGTAACCCGCCTAGCCAGGGTCGCGTTCATGTTATATTTACAAGCGCGCCAACAACCTCACCCCGGTATCCTGGGGTTGTAAAAATTGTTCGTAAACACAAGCAATTTTTCGAGCCTACCTGGAGTACCCCACCTTCATGCAAACAAGCCCTTAAAAGGAAGACGATATGACTCCTTGAATGGCGTGACGCGCCAGACAGCTGGTAACTGCGTGACTTTGATCTTCACTACAAGGTTTTGGCATGAGAGAAGTTATTGCCACACATTTGTGGCCTGAAGGAGAAAGAAATCCGGGAAATGTTGGTGTACTTCTCCCTAATTGGAATGTAAGGTACCATAATGATTCGATTTAGCGCCCTCTTTCCAATAAGCACCCCCTCTCTAAGAGAGCCCCCTTCGAATCTGTTTGCCAATAAGTGCCCCTGTTCTAATAAGCGCCCGTATTGAGTAAGCACCCCTATTCCAATAAGCGCCCCTATTCTGTTTCATTAATTGCACTGCTGAGTGCTTGTACACTGAGATCAACCGTGGTCCATCTTCCTTTAATTATTCACACGAAGCCTCAGGACAAAAAATTAGCCTTCGTCTCAGTCTCTCAACTATTATGTCGCTGTTAGTGCTCAGTTTCTTAAACGAAAGATCCTATCTTAAAATTTTGCAACAATTGCTCGGCAAGTCGTTCTAGCAGGGAAGGGCCCACGGACAATAAGTGAGTTTTCCAGTCTTTTTGTTCCTCAGTCCAATAAACATCAAAGCTTTGTTTTACATTCTGCTGATTTTCAAAAAAGAGATAAGCACTTTGTCTCCTTAACATCGGCATTTATATGAGAAACATTCTCTCTCCATATCGAAGCAAACTTATTTGAATAGGGAATGCGACAGACTTGGTATGTCGACTTTGCAGGGGACATTTTCTTCGATGAGAATTGCAGACCAAGACGCGTTAAAACTTTCATCATTCAGCGTTTCATTCGTAATTTCCATTCATTTCTCCGTATTTCCTGGGTATATTTATATACGTCAACATACTCGAAAGGTGATTCACCTGTGGCCCGCCACGGTATTACTTTGAAGCGATATCTGACATGGAACTCAGACGTTTTTCCTGGCCAAAGCTTGCAAAAACATCCCCACCGTCTCTTTATTTCAAAATGATTCTTCATACTGTCAGCGCCTTTTTACGAAATTACTTTTTTCTATTAGCGGCCTCCGGCAAAAAGTTATTTCGTAAAAAGACGTTTCAAACGGCCCTTGGACGCTTTGAAATATCACAGATGCGTCGATTTACATTCCATTTAACTTCATTGAGATATTCAGACCGACATGTAATTCAGACAGGCAATTTTCAGAGCTTTATTCATTACCCTCATAGAATTTGTTTGTCTCATGTCAACAATTATTAATCACGAATACATAGTGTGGTATTCCTGTGTTCGGACGCTCTACCAATGAGCTATGGGAGATTCGTGGCTGGCTATAGTGGACCTCAATGACTAAGCTTTTTGACTTGGTTTTCTCTGGAAAGGAGGGAAGGAGGGAACAAGCAGCAAACACAAGCATACATTCCGAATTGAAAAACGCACAACTTTTTGTGTTGCTTGTAAGGTTAAAGTTAGTCATAAAATTCATCGAGAGAAAAACTTTATTCTTTAATCCTCAAGATCAAATTATAAATTCTCCCTTATAGCCTATTAAATCAGTTGAGAGAACTTGGCGCTTTGTCCGAAAAGCTTGGCTTTTTTCTATATCTGTTTATTGGATATTATAAACGAATTGATATTGTATTGCATGAGAAATTACTAGTTAATTTTCAAGAATTGAAGTGAATATATCTGATAAATATATATAAAAAAAATATTGTTCATGTTATTCGCGTCCGCCGCAGCACTAAAGAGGACAAGCCTGCAGGCTGACAGATCGTTAATCGCATTAAGCGTTGCTTAAAACGACGCAGTAAAACGAGATTCTTCTCCTCTTGGCAACGCAGTGTAAACATAGGCATGCAACGCATGCAAGCGTTTTGTGGGTTAGGATGGGCCACCAAATAATTGACGTTTGCATTCTTGTACAAGAAAAAAATGATTACTTTTCTTTTGTGGTCTATTGTCTTTGTTGTCTAAATAATTGTAAGCAAAAATAAACTGCATTGGTGCAACACTCACTGTTGTCTCCTTCAGAGTCATCGTTTGGTCTCGTCACGCAACACGTTCTCTCTCCTCCTGTTGCGTGACGAGAGCGAACAAAGGCTACGAGGGAGGATACGCTAGTATGCGAGATCTCATTATTGACATTTAGTCACGAGCGCTTCTTCGCCCGCGTGAACGTATGAGGTCTTCAGGAACATAAGCCAGCGAGAGGTCTGTCCGGGCTTTGGTACTAATAATAGTGCCAGATTCCCCGCAAACCTCTACCCGACTTGTCTTACAATACTCAATCTCGGCCCCTCAGGGATGGGCTGAGATTCACCACACGTCTGTAACCTTGAAATAGACACAAGCTGCTGATTCTAATTCTAAATCTGGCTGCTTCACTTTACAAAGCAATAAAGCCTTCAGAGTTAGAGTCGAGGTAAGTACGATATTTAATTGTTTATGTGCTAATGTGTTAATGTGACCTCTCATCAGTTTTCCAATTCATATTTCAGCGCCTTTATAATCGGAGCTGCTGTTACATAGACCATTATTATATTGATTAATAGTCTTACACAGCATGAATTGCCATAGAAGGACGTCGTTTTTAAGAAACTCCATCCTTTTTCAAAATTTTCTTTGTATCCCTTGGGTAAAGAATATCTGACGCATTAACATCGGTACTTCTACCGTGTTGAGTCAAATTCGTTTCATTCATACCTTTCCATCAGTTGTTAACAATCAAGCCGCTTGTGTGAATTTAATCAAATAGACATGCCCAATCTGTGCCCTAACCGCCATGAGAAGTTTACAAATACTAACATGATTTACACAGTACGTTTTACGCGGGGAGTCAGTTATCTTCGGCAAAACAAGTTTTAAGATCCAGAAAGATGGTAACCGTTTTTAGTATTTCCAATGCAAACAATGGGTGAAGTAAGGCCATTCGAAATTGAAATTTTTTTCATGAATATGTTCATCAAATGAGCAGAAATTCTTCTCATAAAATCTCCGTTGGGCCCGGCTCTTCTAATGTTGTCTCCTTGGCCGTCCTAAGTAGCTTAGTTTTTTCCAGTGTCAGTTGTAACGCAGGTTATGATATAAATCACACAGGATTGCTAAATTTCAAATGAATTCAAGGCGGGGAATTCTAGTCTGTTTGATAATTTAACCTTGTGCGCTTAATTTATGGAGAAGATGATGAGCGATTGATTTTCAAGTTCCTAAACGGCCTTTATTTTTTGTTCTGTAGAAATCGAGCTCAATCTTTACACTTATTTACCGTTTGTCCCTCTTCGGTTCATCAATTTTTTATTCAGCCATTTTACTTGTATTTTACAGAAGGTTTCACGTCTTTCTTACAATAGCTATTCGCATTTATCTTTGTTTTGCAGGGGAAGTCGTATTTCGGTTTCTTGCTTTTGGTTTCATCTGTCATACGACTAGAATATCAAATAATACAAGCTTCTTGTGTAAAAGGTTAGTAGTAAAAAAATAAATTTAGAAACAATCTTTCCCGCTTTACAAAACTGAAATGTTTTGCACTGGACATTCA